TTATCAAAACGCAACAGTGGCCCAACATTTTTCTGGTTGGCAGTCCTCTGTCGTGAGAATGCTAAATATGCAGTTCCGTACACTTTATATTACAAATGGGGTTTATGATATTCATTATATACAGCTTTATGTCATGATATGGATTGACTTTCAATTAATAATATAACTAGTGTCTATAAATGGACAATACACACATTGAAACCTAGGAACCACTTCATTAGTTATTTTATATTTCATTTGATGGCAAGCAAAACAATCCTAAATGTGGGAAGCTTAGTGTATACTAAACATGTTTTTAAAGTGTATCAAAAGCCATTTTTTTAGTTAAGGGTAGAGTGGTGATGGGTTTATGTTCCCTGTCGGGTTCTTATTGTTGCCTTTTCCCCCATTAGGGAGATTCACCCCCTTTATTTTTCCTAGTGATCATAAAAAGAAAGTGAAAAATCTCCCATTTTGAGATGTCATCAGAACAAGTATAGATGGAAAAAATTTTCAAAGTGATGGTGGAAAGTGAACGAATTTCATTTATTTGGAAATACTTCCTCTCACTTCCGGTTGTGTCTACAGATCAGGAAGTGCATGGAATGCTACTCATGTGACACAGTCCCCATTAAAAAACCCAACAGAGGTTAGGACCTTTACCAATTAAATCCAAAACAGTCAGTCTCCTAAAAATCGAATTTAGGTTAAGTGCTGATTTTGTCTAGGGGGCTCAGATTAAGCAGTTTTACTCACCTGTCTCGCAGTGGTTAGTGTTCATTTCTCACCCCCTCCACCCTGGCTATGGAATGTCTCTTGGTGTCCTCACATGCTGGACACACACCTTACAACCATCGCAAGACTTTTGTCTTGCGATGGTTGTAAGGTACTTAAAAAAACGTACGATCTGCCTTTCTTGAACAGGCAGATCAAACTTGCGCCCTCAGCGGGGCGTGCTTGCGACGACCGCAATGCCGAACGGGCAGTGTGCGCTTGCTCACACCGGCCCGACCGGCTTTTATCTTACGAACATGCTACACACCCGCTGATCATCGTACGATGCTCGGTGGGTTTTCGAACATGTTCGTAAGTTTAAAGTCGTGCGACCTTACAGTAGTAGAGGTCGCACGGCTTCCACACACCTTACGATAATCGTACGATCGCGGGATTTCCCGTGATTATAGTACGATTATCGTAAGGTGTGTGGGCACCCTAATGCAGGACAATGGACCTGCATATGACATGATTACATTAGCAGTCCTTAGACTCCCAGAACCCATGGAAAAAGCAGATGCAGGGACTCGTCTAGCATCGCGGAGAAATCCAGTTGGACCGACGATTAGGTAAGTATACTGTATCTGCTTTATTTAAGCCACTAGACAAAACGAGCACTTAACCCTGCATTGCAGGGGGTAGCCCCACGGCAAAGGTAAGTTTGTGATTTTCCCAGAGTTCTTCTTTAACTTCTTTTACAATGGTTTGGAGCATTTGATTTAACCCATGATGACCCTAGCAGGTATCATGAGGCAATGTTAGGTTTGGTAAGATCAAGTGCAAAGCATGTCTCACTTACACCACGAATCCCAATAAATAAATAAAGAATTAATTCCTTATTCCAAAGAATTGGGCAGAATCAACTTATTTATTTATGATTTGCATGGCCAACTGTGAACCAGAACTGGTTACAGCACAGCTACAGCATAATACTATACAAGATCAAGTGAGAGTGAGCACCTAAGAATTTCATAGTGACATAAAACTCTTCCTTGAACCAACTTCTACACATGATCCACACCTGAGAGAGGTGCAGCTCACTGATAAGGTGTTGGGCTTAATTGAAAACTGGGCTGCTATGCACTTATACACCTTATTTACTTTGGATTAGAGCCATCTCTACAATCATAGAGACTCACATAAAAAATAGGAGGTTGTGAATATACTCAATTATAATTTTTTTTAAATCTGAGAGGTATCTTAATACGAGTGAAACTGAAAATGTATTCCATTTATGCAAAGCTTTAAAAATGTAAATGCCATAATAGAAAATACAAACTAATTTTACCTTGAATAAATGGCAGGAAGCCATGTTTTTTTTTGTTCTAGAAATATATATTATTATCATATTTGCTAATCCCTGTCACCGTGTCTTTTCTGAAAAAAAATAATCCTAATGCATAGTGACAACGTAATGTGTCATAATATTAATGATTAACTGGAGTCTTTTGATGAACACTCTGAGCTCATTGGTTGACTCCATATCTGTTACAGTTAAAGCCAAGATTAAGTTTATTTGTATTACAAAATGAATTAGTTACTTGATACATGACTGATGGTTTAGCACACAAACCTGGTACCAAGAAGTGCTTTTCTTTGTTTTAAACAAACTGAATATGATTAGTGTGTGGCTATCGTGATCAGATTGGGTGGAGTTGAATATTTTGTACCTAGCTTTCTGCTTGATTTGCAGTCCTTTTTAATACAGGTTCGCTGCTGTGCTGTGTAAGAAAACCTATGCTACAATGTTTGGGGGAGGATATGTAAGTTAGCTTATTTTATAATATTTCTGGTACCGTATATAATCATTGTGCGAATACATACATAATGAAATGCAATGATATATCTAACATTTGCCCTACTTTCTACAAATGCAGGAACTGAAAACACTTCAAAATCCTGTTTTGAGTGTTACTCCTTTCATAGTACAGATCATACCAAGATCTTCAAGCATGATTGAATATCTCATTAAACAAGGATAGTTGATATATATTTTTTTTACGGGAATCTGTCACATACATAGGGCAGATAATTTGCATATTCAATAAATGATGTGTTTCCTCTGAATATGTCTGTGTCTGAATTAACTAATGTTAAATGAAGCCATGTACTCACATGAAAAAGAATTGATATATATTACATGTTACATTTCATGTGTGGATTAGCTATTAGCCCCCTCCCAATAATAATGATAAACATATTAAAAACTACAATTAAATTGTATCCTAAGCCAAAACATGTTCTTTTCTTAGTTTTGGATAGCGTGATTAAAGGTAAGAATTGCTGTCAGGTTTTTTTTTCGGTTTGTTTGCTGTCTTTGTGCCTGCTGGAGAGATTACCTTTTTCTGTTTGTGTCACCAAAAGTGAAATGAGAGAAAATCCAAAAGTTTGAGTTGACAGGAATAGAGAGTAAATCTTCCAATGGTAATACTAGTTGCAATGACAACTAAGAGAGGATTTCCATTACCTTGGAGAGATCACTTTCTAATTGTTATTTTTTTAAATTGTCTTAAAATTACAGTAAGAGATTTTATTGGCAAGGATCCAGGTAGTTGGCAGTATTAGTTGGCCATAGTTATTTGTTTTTTTAGGTGTGTCAGACATGGATTTCTGATCCAAGCAATACTTTCCATATTAACTGTTTCCTGAGACCATTGCTTTTTTAATAGATTAAGAGAATATTTTAGAAAATATAACCGGCGGCTCTCTTTTTTCACTCATTCTGGCTTTTGTTGTGGTGGTTAAGGACCATATTTAAAAATAAAATGTTTTTAAAAATAAAAAAGCTTTGAATTATTTTACATTGCATACATGTAGCAATACTCCAAAGGAATTCATGGTTTTATTTGTGTAAGTTTAGAATTTCAAGAAGTAGTTTGGTAAAATAATTTCTGTCAGTTTTTTGTTGTAGTTCACTAGCTTTTTAGATGTGATCGTACATAGCAGATGTTAGTTGGAAATGGTAGAAAATTATCTATGTACTCAATATATGTTTTTTAGCTGTATTCGCATTGTACAATATGATTTATCCAAAGGCCCCATCAGACCATACCTCAATGTTGGAAATATAGAAACATTGGAATGTGTTTTTCCCATCTCTGTCCCATTTTAGAGGTGTCCCCTTCACTTGCTGTCCTCTACACACAAATAGAGGGGCTATATCTCCAAAATTTGACAGGGATTCTAGCTTCACACCACTTTAATAAAAGCTAACCAAAAAAAACATTTTTGGCTTCAGCTTCACTTTAACCACGCTAAGTATTGGCTAAGTTTAATACAAATTGTATGTTGGTTTACACCATTTTTTTGCAGAGCAGGTTACAAAAAATATTTGGATTATATTACCTATTTTGCAGTTTTGGATGTCTAACTGATGTTTTTCCAGCTCCAATCCCTTTTTTTAGTGACCAATATAAGGGATTGGTCACTAAAGAGTAGTTGACTTTTCGATAAGCTATGTCCTATTTGAAATGAAGGTATATGTTATTACATGAAATATCAAGACTCCAAGGCTCTATATTCTAGCATTTCAATATTTTCCTTACACAGAAAACCACAGGCAAATATTTTGAGTTTATTCAACTGAAGTTGTGAGAATTTAAAAACCCATTGTTAAAGTAGGTCTAAATCCTAACTGGATAACATTTACAGGGTTATTCACTAAAGGGTGAAGAGTTTGGAGAAGACAGGATAAGTGAACAATCTAGGACAACATAATTGAACTGGAAAGTGAGCTGAATTGGAGAATTTTTTCAAATCAGCTAGTTTGTCCTAGATTGTTCACTTCTGCCTTCTCCAAACTCTTCACCTTTTAGTGAACTACGCTGCTTGCTTTAACCCTATTTAGGGGTGTAGTTATTTCACACAAGTTTTAACCATGATTCTCAAATTTTTCCAAATAATCCAATTATAAAAATGTGTGAAAGTTCAGCAAAAAAAGTATAAATAGATCCCTATAATTGTTTTATAGAATATTGCCATTTTTCATAAAATGTTGTTTTCTGCTTTTTTGAGGCTTTTTTGTTGACCTCTTCCAGCAAATTCTCAGCCATTTCATGATAACGTGCACTCCAGTGTTGGTTGCACATCATTGTTCAGAATCAGATTTTTGATAATGGCAATGGTAGACCAAGCTGGCACAATGTGTGCTGGCACAGTCATTTGCAGTACCTTTCAGGGGTGCATGTGACAATGCAGGAGTAGTATTGGGAAACTGTTGTCACCTCAAAATAGGAAGTTCCCTGAACAAGCACTGGGAGTGCCATCTTCTGGCCCTTTGCTGTGCTTAATGATTTGATCTGCCAACCCTATATCACTTCTGTGTCACCTAGTAACAGGGGCTGATGGGAGGTTTCTGGAAAGCTTTTAGTCAGTTTTTCCTTATCAATACAGTAACGATCTGCCATGTGGGCAGCTGGAAAGGTAAATATTTGGTACCTTCTTTGCAGGGACACATTTTTGAAAGTTGACCTTTAGCAACAGAGCCACTTTAAACAGTTAAATGTAAATTGTCAGGGCTAAAAATGTATATAAGTTAACTATTTTGCTTCAGACTTATTTCTTTGTCATTTTGCAGCCTCTAAAAAAAGATCCAGGCTGTATATGTTACCTCAACATTTGTCCAAGTCAGTTAAAAGTCCTTTCATCCAAAGTTAAACCCTATGTTGTCATTCATAAATCGAATGCCAGAGCCTCTACTGGCAACTGGGGATGTGGACTGCTTACTGACGGGATTAGGCTTAGCACTAGGAGAGCTGTGGCATAGAATTGACTTTAGTAAACACTGCCTAAAGCTTGAGCCGTAGATGCAGGGACTTGACAAGGATTGATTTAAGGATTAAAGTGACAAGAGTTAAATCTTAAAAATGCACTATAGAGCCCTAACTATTAACAAAAATGTATCTTATCTGTGTATCACTCAGCTGTAGATCCTCAGATCATCTCTGAATATGTGCTGACACTGTCCCTCCTTGGCTACGTTTGTTCCCCATGGTCCCTGTGTGTGTTGTATAGTAGCCACCGCTACAAGCTCGCTCACATAATGGACTACTAACTCAGGTGTTAAAATCTTAAAAAAGCATTCAAGTAACTTAACTATTAACAAAAATGTATCTTACTTTAGCATCACTCCGCTGTAGATTCTCAAATCATCGCTGAATTCATGCTGACACTGTCCTTCCTTCTAGAGAGCGCCTACTTTTTTTTTCTTATGGTACCTATGTGTGTTGTAATGTGGCCACCACACCAAGCTCACTCCTATGATAGACTACAATCTCAATACAAATTAGAACTAAACATGAGGTTGTAGTCCATCACAGGAGTGAGCTTGGAGCAGTGGCTACTTTATAACACACACAGGGACCATGGGGAACAAAAGTTGGCACCCTCCAGAAGGAAGGACAGTGTCAGCACTAATTCAGAGATGATTTGAGAATCTACTGCTGAGTGATATGCAAGTAAGATACAATTTTGTTAAAAGTTAAGGTACCAAAATGCTTTTTTAAGATTTAACTCTTGAATTTAGTGTCACTTTGAAACAAGTACAAGAGCACTATTGTTAGCTTAGGGGATTTAAGCTTTATTAACTTATTGTTGCGATATGGTCCCTGTACAGAGGTGTCCAAAATGATCAAGGAAAGGCCCTGTACATGAGATGATATCAGCAATCTTTGCCCTCCACAAGCCAGTGTTGCAGCACACATCTATCACTGTCTGAAATCTTTGGCACATCATGGAATATCTCATGTGGAAGCTCCATAATAGAGTGAAAATAAAAAGTGTTTGGGCCAAAAGAGACACTATCACTTTTAGTCCATACATGTGTGTGTGTGTGTATATATAGATATTCTTCACTGATTGCGGTATTGCAATATTAATGCATTACAAGTGTTTATTTGCTAAAGGGGCAAATTCATCTTAGTCTGTTTTCATTAATATTACCTAATCAGACTTAGAAGTGTCTGTTTTATTAAATTCCCATTCTCAAGAATAGAAAAGAAGTGTCCTCTACATATGAAAGAAAACTCTTTTGCTTGATAACATTTTGAAATGTTCAAGAATAAATGTATCCCATTTTATGAGACCTCAGGGAAGATGTATAGCATCATTATAAATAAAGCTGTAAGATTCAGAATAGTTTAGATTAATTTTGGATAGGTATTCATTATATTTTGCAACCACTGCTGGAAGCTTTTATTCTGTTATTGTTCCTGTTGTTTGTTTGACCATTCCTTATATTTGCAGAAATTACATTTGCTGAGGAAATGTCTTGTTTGGCAAATGGTTTACATTTCTCCTTATAAATATAACACTTTATGAATGTGTACTTCGGCAATTCAATATCCTTACATTATGTTTCAAGGTCCTTTTTACCATTTTGTCTACTGATGTGCTTGACTTGATCTCAAATGAATCAATCTAAAACTGTGGAAGTGTATAATTTTTAAAAAGCAGCTTGTCAAAATAATATACTTGTTCCATCTTTGAGTCATAGGTGTTGATTTAGGAAAATAGGCTGTTCACTTTGCAAGACAAGAGTGAATGCAGTGAAAACTAACTTAACAAAAAATATCCAATCACGTGCAAGAAAAAAAACTGTATTTTTGCTTGCTCATGATTGGATGATGAAAGTGAGCAGAGCTTTACCTAATTCACAAAGCTAAGGGAAATTCCTGTGCAAAGTTAAAATGCCCTTGCAAAGTGAACAGCCTATTTGCTTTTAGTAAATCAACCATACAATGTCAATATGGCTTACTATTTCTGTTATCTGTATTAAATGCAGCAGGTCCAGGGAACAATACTCCCAGATCCAAACTGTGATCCCATTATGGATGCACAGATGCTTGGCGGAGCTCTCCAAGGATTTGGTTAGTATTCTATATTCACATTTAAAGTAGTATTAAACTCATTATTTTTTCAATAATTAATCCAGATCAAACAAATATACATTGCCCAGCCAAGCATTTCTTTACAAGTTTGCCTGAGCACTTACAGTCACCAAGTTACTAAACAGCTGGCTCAAACTCTCTCAGCTCTGCTTCCCTGAACTTCCTTTCCAATACAAGCTCACAAGAGCAGACTTCAGCAGCTGTCCATCTACTAGCTTGGAGAAGGGAGGAAGGAGGAGAGGGAGTGGGAAGCCTGGGAGTGACTTGCCCTGCTGTGTCTGTGTGTTTGTGGAGACACACAGACACACACACAAGGTGGCTCCATAAGATCATGCAAGGGAAAGGAGCTATTCTAAAACAGGATATCAGGGCATGGGCTCAGGAGACCAGATGATTCTACAGGAAGCTAAAAAAAATGTAAATATTATGGAGCAGCATCCATTGTAAGTGATTTATTCAGCATTTGAAATAGCTAAAAAACATTTTTGACTTTTTGATATCACTTTACATTTGTATGATATCTATATATGGATTGGACCGCTACATTACATTTCCAGGTATTTATGTCTGATTATCCACTAGGCAGACATACACAGAATTCAGTCATCCAAACATTAAGGTGTTGTGACAGTTACATAGGTTAGTGTAGAATAGACTAATTATGCATATACAGTGAATATAAAGAATAAGTGCACTTTACAATAAATATATTGTCTCATACATTACTGAATCTTGTTATAACTTTTGCAGATGTAGAGAGACAGTCCCCTACCGTTAACGCACTGTACCACTCACTCAATGGCACTTTCTGCACATTCTGGTGCAGTAGGTGTATTGCGTTGCCATTCATTTGAATAGCACCCCAAACACACCTCGTGCACAACGTTTAATTGCCGGCACTTTAACACGAAGTACCGCAATACCGTGCGTTACAGTGCGGTGCGACTTGCGTCATGATGACCAAGGACAAATGTGGGTCATGAGGTTACACAGTTTGGAAACCACTGATTTAAACCTTCCATGACTAGAGATCATTGACACCTAGATGCCTAGAACAATTTAGCTATGTCAGCATTAACTTGGCTCTAACTATGTGACTAATTTGCATGCCATTATATTTTGTAAGGACATATAAGGCTTTTTTGGTACACTGTTTTAATAAAAACCCTGCTCTAAGTACTAAAATTGTATTAGGAGGTTATTAACTAATAACTGTATTTTGTCTTCTTTCTATCCAGGCTGTGACAAGGACGTCCTAATTGGTATTATTACACAGAGAGCAAGTGCACAAAGAATAATGATTGCAGATGCCTATGGGAGTTTGTACAGCAGGGTATAAAATGTCTAAATATGTTTTTTAAAGAATTATCAGGGTTATTCACTAAAAGGTTAAGCTTTTGGAGAAGGCAGGATAAGTGAACAATCTGGGCCACATTAGCTTGTTTGGAAAAATCTTCAATTCAGATCACTTTCCAGGTCAGCTATGTTGTCCTAGATTGTTCACTTCTGCCTTCTCCAAACTCTTCACCCTTTTGTGAATAACCCTGTATATCTACTTTGACATGAGAGAGCTACTTCTGAGATAGAGCGCTGTTTATCATATTGCTGTTTATACCCAACTTTTAACAAACTGATGGTCAGATAAACGTTTATGGCATTTGACAGTTTATGGCACATATGAAATTTACAAACATTTTATAAAGTGGACATTACTATGTTGTTGAGTCAATTATGTTTTGTGACCTGTTAAAGAGGAACTGAACTCAAAAAGTGAGGATTTGCTGTTATAGAGAACATCTAGATATGTTATTATGCCTAAGCAGTACCCTGAAAGACAGACCCTTTTTCTTGAATTCCTCCCGAAAAGTAGCAGTGCATGTCCTAGTACAAAGACAAAGCACACTGGGCTCAGGTGAAGCAAGAAAATATGTGATTACAATAAGATAAACCAAGTGTTATAGTGATCAAATAAACGTGATCTTTTTAAAGAAATCAGACTGATCTCTCTTGTCTGACAAAAAAAATTTTTTAAACACCAAATGCTTCCTCCAAATGGTCCGTGTTAAGAATGATAAAGTCTTAAATCATCTGAAATGCTCAGTGTTTCCAAGTGTTCCACATCTAGATAGTGAAATAAGACACGCACTCACCAGACATTACTCTTAAAATATCCTCAGCCGTGGCTCATCCTCCGGCTCTGGGAGACATTCAATCTCTTTACTCAAAGCAGATGTCTCTCCTATGCTTGCCTTACGAAGTAGCGGGCAGTGCTTCCCGTCTTTACCAGAGATCCTCCAATAATGAAAAGCGCTCTCTCTCACCACCACAGATCTCCTCCAACATGAGAACAGGGGGAATCTCTATCGCAGAATAGAAAGGATGAAGAAAGGATAAAGCAACTCATAGTGCAGTACATCGTATACCAAGTTTTATTAAAGTAAAAATGTTATACTCACAAACATAAAAGTTTGAATTGCATGTATTAGAATCCTGTGTACTTGACAGCCCCAAACTTAGTGTTTTCAGCATACACCCGCTTGTCCACGTTTCGTCGTTTGACTTCGTCGGGTATGTCCTGGTATGTTAGTGTGCTTAGGTATTCCTGTGTCTACAGCCTCATAATGTTATATATCTGCTGTTTGAGATCTAAGGCACTGCTGCCTCTGACTGATTCTCTGAGTAGATATGGAGTGAGATTTGGTGATGACACCTCCGGGCTGCTCACTCTTCTTTTTGCTGAAGGCTCTAACATGAGGAATCAAAGCTCTGCCTCTACCAATATGACCATATTCACACAGAGACAGTGCGAAGCAAGGCATAGTAAATCAATAATGTGGGAAAAAATCAGCTGAAGGGAGCCCATAGGCAACACTGGTGTCTACTATTTTTGTCCTAAACTTTCAGAGTTAATTTCCTATTTAAAAAAAGAGGCAGATTTAACCACTTCAAGACCAGGTGTTTAGACCCCCTTCCTGGCCAGGCCATTTTTCAGTATTCAGCGCTGCGGTACTTTGACTGACGTTTATTCCGTCATGCAACGCTGTACTGAAATGAATTTTATACCATTTTTTGGGGACAGATAGAGCTTTATTTTGGTGGTATTTAATCACCACTGGGGTTTTTATTTTTTACTATAATTAGGAAAAATTTAAGAAAATTTTGGAAAAAAAAAGTTTTTTTTTACATTATGTTAGGAAACACTTATTATTACCCAGTTTTTTGGTAAAATATAAAAGTCAGGGTCACGTCGGATAAATAGACACCAAACATGTCAACCTTTAAAATTGCGCGCACCCGCGAAATCGCAGAAAACTACCATACCCAAAATTGGCCACAGGCGACACTTTAAAAGCTTTTACCGCTCATCAGTTTAGTGTTATCAGTGATTGATGGCCCTAGACTTATTGCTCTCACTGCGGCGTTCGCGGCGATATGTAACATGTGCGGCGTAATGGGCGCAATCGTCGTTTTTGCACGTATGCGCCCCCGACGCATGTTTGCATGCGTGTATGTATGGGTGGAAACTTAAAAAAATAATTTTTTTTTTATTCTTTTTTATGTGTTACTTTACATTTTTTTGGGGGTGGGGGACTTAAATTTTTTTTTCCTTTTTTTTTTTTTGCTAAACTTTATTGCTATCACATACGAGGCTAATAAAAACCCCCTATGTGATAGCAAAATATGTGACAGGTCCTCTTTATGGAGACATCAGGGGTCTCCAGGACCCCTAATGTCACCTAGGACCCCCCAAAAGAAGCTGAT